TGGCACAAAGTTTTCATATTTAACTGCATGAGAAAGAAAAAATACAAGTCCATTGGCTAGCTTATTGGAGCCCAGCCTAGTAATGTTTTAACCCAAATCAAAGATCATAAACTTAAGAGCATCTCCAACGGTGTTACTCGTTGGAGTTCTTAAAAAAAGTATTTTTAAAATTTTTTAATTATTACTTTTTTATTTTTTCAGATTTTAAAATTCAACGAATTGCGGATTGCCACGTGTCATGAGGACCCGCAACTAGTGCAAGGATTCGTTAAGAAACTGTCCTTATTTGGAGATTTTAAAGATCGAATCCTTAACTTTTTGTGGGATCTACTGATTATTTAATTATTTTTTCCTTGAGAACTCCCTCCTAAGGACCCCGTTTGAGGTGAAAGACCAACTAAGTAAGGATTCGATGTTCTGAAGGTTAGGATTTTGTCCTTCGATCAGTCGTGTGAGCATGTCCGGCGATCGGCGGCTGTTTCGCTCAGACCAAATCCAATATATGCAGCAGATGAGAGAGTGAGTAGTCCCACTGGTCTGCAACTGCACCAGTGTGTGACACATCCAATTTCTTCTCGGGGTTGATTCCAAACTCCCCAAGCATAATTATGACAATGAAATCTTAATTTTGTTAAAATTGTATAACATGTATATTGTTGATAGATGGTGAAGATCTTCCTACTTCCATATCTTGTATGTGAAATCGTAACATTTTTTTAGGAATTATGGTAAGTCTTACGACGTACACAAACTATCAAGTTCGAGTCTCTTTCTGCTTGTATCGCTTATCTTTTCTTTTTTTATCATTGATGCACCTAATACAAAAACAATTTGTGGAATAAGCCATTTATTAATTTGTTAAAATTATATAATTGTAGGTAGACGCATGATTATATAATTATATAATTTTTATATTATATAATTACATATAATTTTTATATTATTATAGATGGTGAAGATCTTCCTACTTCCATCTAGATATAATTTTTAAATATGTTTACGATTTTGCATGTGAAATCTTACCATTTTTGTAGGAATAATGGTAAGTCTTACGTGCGTACACAAAATATCAAGTTCGAGTCTCTTTCTGGTTATATTTTTTATCATTGATGCACCTAATACAAAAACAATCTAGATGGTGACAACAGAACTTGGTAGTATAATAAAAACCTGATCGTGTAGATTAATTCCACCGTAATTAATCATCTGACCCCATTTTCCGGATCTCATTTGTAATAACAAGAGTCATCACATGTTTCAATCTGACAGATCCAGATTTATGGAATTCAAACGTGAAAGCGAGTTGGATTCATTTAAGCTTAAAAACAGAGTGCAGAAGAGATCAAACGTTCAAAACATGCTTCTTTACCAATTGCAAAATCTAACAAAATACTTCATTGGTTTGAAAGGCTCTGTCATGATTCATAATCTAGTTTTTACTCGACCTACTTGGAATTATTGAAACATTAAGGTATATAGTACTATTGATTATTGATGCAATTTAAGTTAACTTTGTTTCGTATAACATTTAATAGCAAAAAAAAAAGAAATCTATTAATCAGATCAAATAGTGTAAGAATTTCTCACCATTTTTCTATAATATCTCAAACGAATGACTAATGTAAAAGTTTTTTTAAAACTTTCTTTTCATCTCCTATACTTTTTTTTTCTTATTATTTTGTATGAGAGATCAATATTCTAAAATATTTATTACTATTTTGTGTGAGAGACTCATCCTCACCAGAAATTAAACACGGGAAATTATTGATTACTAAACCTAGATTTCAGTTAGTGAGCCACCAGACTAAACCAAACCATCGACAATCACGACTTAAAAAAAAAAAAATCGACTTACATATATCTTTGATCGTATTAGCCTCTCCAATGGATTCTGGTTCTATTTAAACAGAGAGAGAAGTAAAACAAGACATCCTACAACAATAACAGTCTAGAGAGTTTCTCCTGTCTATCTTTTAGTGACAGTTTCTACAAATGGAAGCATCAAAAATGTGTTTTGGTCTTAAAACTCTCCCTAAAGTTCACTATGGCCATCTCTTTAATAACACCAACCTCTCTATCTTTCCTCGCCGTTTGCTTCAAAACAACACTCTTTCCTCCAAGAAAACCACAAAACACGACTTTCTATGTGTAAAGGCTGAGAGTAGTGGCGATCTTGAGAGTACTCGTCCATTAACCTACTTTTCTCCCTCTACATGGGGAGATTACTTCCTCTCTGTTAACGTCGATGATTCTGTAAGTACACACCATGTGTTTTCGTGATCAACAAGCTTTCTTTAATTAAGTCATATTATTCTCTTTGTAGGAATTTGAGGCACTTGAGCAAGAAATTGAATCTGTGATGAAGCCTAGAGTAAGAGACATTCTCATGTGTCCCCACAGTAGCGACAAGGAGCAGATTCGTATAGTTCATTTGCTTATCAGCCTCGGTATCGCTCATTATTTCGAGAGCGATATAGAAGAGATTCTACACCAAGCTTTCCTAAAGTTGGACGACTTAATTTCAGAAGAAGATGATTTGGAAACAATTGCAATCATGTTTGAAGTTTTCAGACTATACGGACACAAGATGTCTTGCGGTAAATTAACAGCTTTTAAAACGTGTTCATTAGTTTCCTTGTTTAAATAAAGATATATCTATTTATCATTTTTGTAGGATGACATAAATATTTAAAATTTTGCTAAAATTTATTAGTTTATTGAATATACTATATTTTAAACTGTTTTAATTTGAAACCAAATAAATATATTACGTTATAGCTTTTATCATTTATAGAGTTCTGTTAATATGATTGTGTTGGTATTTTATAGATGTGTTTGATAGATTCAAAGGTGAAGATGGGAAATTTAATGAAAGTCTGGCACATGATGTTAGAGGAATGCTACAGTTGTATGAAGCAGCGCATCTCGGGCTACCGTCTGAAGATACACTGGACGAGGCATTGACTTTCACGCAGCATCACTTGGGGTCGTTGACTGGCCAAGAAACTAACCAAAATCTCTTTAAGCAAATACAACGCGCACTGTATAGAGCTCGATATCATAGCATAGAGATAGTGGTCGCACGACAATACATCTCTTTCTACGAGCATGAGGAAGGGCACGACAAGACACTCCTCAAATTTGCAAAGCTCAACTTCAACTTTTGCCAAATGCACTACATCAAAGAGCTTAAGATTATCACCAAGTAGTTAATTTTTCAAGGTGTTTTTATATTCTTATGATTTTGATCATCAATCTACTTGACATGGAACTTAATTTATGGCTCTAGGTGGTGGAAAGAGCTAGGTATGGCGCCTAAGCTATCTTACATAAGGGACCGAAATGTGGAGTTCTTTTTTGCGATACTAGGAATGTTTTTCGAGCCACGGTATTCACTTGGAAGAATTCATGCCACTAAACTTTCAATGGTTGTGACTGTTGTGGATGATACATGTGATGCATATGCCACTCTTCCTGAAGTTATTAGTCTTCATGATGCTTTCCATAGGTATTTATGTAGTGTCTTATCTACAAACATGCATATATATTTACCAATATCTTATCATCTATGATCCATATATGTGTTTTCATGTAACTAACAAATAAATAAATTGTCCAGGTGGGATCTTCGTGCCATGGAAGAAATACCAATCTATATGAGAATCATCTACCAAAGTGTGTTAGAAACTGTTGAAGATATTGATCAAGAAATGAAAGCTCGAGGAAAGTTTGGTAGTTTGCAACCAACTATAGATGAGGTATAATAAGCAATCAATTTCAAGTAGTAGATTCCTATATGATATAGCTAATCTTACTAACAATGATCCTGGCAGACTAAGAGTCTGATGATATGGTATTTAGCGATAGCAAAATGGGCACGCACAGGTCACGTGCCAAGCTTTGAGGATTACATGAAGATTGGGAGCTCCTCACCCGGACTTGATGACTTAGCAGCCTACGGATATATATCGATGGAAGATTGTGATCAAAAGCAATTGTATGATTGGTTCAACTCCAAACCCAAGATATTTGAAGCTTTAAATACTGTATTCCGTCTTAAAAATGACATTGTCACTTTCGAGGTATGTGTATATATACTATACATATGGACACGGCTTACTAAGAAATTTATAACTCTTTTTTTCTATATAAATGAACAGCAAGAAGTGAGCAGAGGAGAAGTGGCGAATGGCGTCAACTGTTACATGAAGCAACATGGTGTTACCAAAGAAGAAGCGGTTGAAGTATTGAAGAAGATGGAACGAGAGAACTATAAGATAATGCTGGAGGAGTTTGTTTCTTCAAAAGCTGTGCCACGACAGATTCTGGTGCGACCCGTCAACATTGCACGTACGATTGATTCGTTTTACAAAGAAGGTGATGCATTTGGTCATCCTGATCAAAACCTAAAAGACCTTATTGTCTCTTTGTTCCTCCATCCAATTCCTCTTTAAAAAATTTAAGAAAGTTAGAGTGAATTTGGGAGAAATATAAAAAAGAATGAATAGACTAAAATGTCATTCTATTATCTTCAGTGTTTTTTTTTCTTAGTTAGTTCTATTTCATTTCACATGTGGTAATCTATGGCGATATCTTCTCTCGAGGACATATTGTTGTGAATATATATATAAATAAACATAACCCTAATTAACGACTTTACTTTTCTTCTGTTCTAATATTTCTAACTCATAGAGAAATAACTTTTCAGCAATGTTGATATAACGTTGAATAAAACAAAGAGCTTGTGAGAAGCCAACAACTTTTAAAAGCAAAAGCTTCAAGAATCCCGAAGAGGAAAGATGATGAAACAGATGGAAGTATCTCAGACAAAAAGAGAGCCTAATAAGAACTCCAAAGACAGAAGCAGGATCATAGTGTTTCCAGCTACTAACATAACTAAAGATAACTGTTTTAAAACTGAAAATTAGATAATGAAAGCCGGAAAACAAAAAAAAAAAAAGATTACTGAAATAAATGAAATGTCAGGTCTCTCTCTCTCTCTAGTTTGTGGAAGGTGGTCGAGTGATTCGTGGCCTCACTGGTGTCTTTGATGGACTTACCCTGACAATAAAAATAAAGAGAGATAAATGTTGATCCAGTTGAGATGTCCAGAAAGAAAGAAAAAAGCAGCTTACCTAATTGGCTGGGATCCAACGACCATCCCGCTGCAACTGAGAGCCCTAAGTGCAATATCTGCCTGTTCATTTATAAAAGAAAACGTTTTTCAATCTGCATGGCATACCAATTTGTCAAATCATCTTTCATCTCTTAGTCAAACATTATGCTCAAGTAAACGTCTAGTTTCAGTAAAACGAGCAAAAGAAAATTCAAACAAATCCAGTGAATAGCCAAAGAGCTCACCAGAGCAAATTCAACAAAAGCTATGCGAGTTGAATGCAGTTGATCGCCAAGAAGCCTTAGGCGAGTTACCTTCATTATTAAAAAAAAAAAAGGTTTAACAAGAAAGAGAAAGAGGAGCAGAGAGAAAATCAGGTAGGGTTAGGTTCTGTTCTGACCTCACCACATGCAGACTCAAAGAAGTTTCTCACATCAGCTTGAGAAACCTGAAGTAGTAAAGAAAAAAAAAGAGCTTAAACCAGGAGATGCTACCCAAAAAAAAAAAAATTGATTGTAGATTGTTCAGCATTTACCTTCTTGTCGATATTTGTGCAATAGATTGTCCTTGAACACATCTCCCTTTCATCCTCTGACTGAATCAACACCAACATATTAGATATCAAACCAACTTCAAAAATCAAACCAAAATTAATCTAATGGATATTCTTAGGAACATTTGAGCTTTAATTACCCTGGGAAGAAATGTTGGATTCACTGGAAGAATAGCAGTTTTGGAGGGTAAAACCCTCACCGGGTAGTACCCAAGCATTGTTCCTCCAAGGCTTAAAGCTTCCCGTGCACCCTCTGTAATACTAACTAAGGGTCAAAAGAATGGACTAGGAATTTTCTTTATTAAAGCATTTCAATAATCCAGTAGCAAAACTTACGGTCATCAGCAAACTCGACAAACGCAAATCGAAGAACTGAATGTGGATCCCCACAAATACGACAATCAACAACCTTCACAAAACAAGAACTCTCTATTACTTCACAACCATTTATATACCTTTTAGGTCATCTGAAATTATTTGCAGTAATATTTAGCACATAAGGGCTTTAAAACCTTAGGTTTACCTATTTTACACACTCAAAAACATTGTCTAAATTAATCACATTGTCCAACACCCACAAAGGGTAAAAGATATATAACAGAATTTTTAAAGCTGAAAAATCATCTTACTTGTCCACAGTTACTAAACAAGCCAGCAAGACCCTCCTCAGTCACCTAAATCACAAGGCACAGTTGTGTTANGGCTTTAAAACCTTAGGTTTACCTATTTTACACACTCAAAAACATTGTCTAAATTAATCACATTGTCCAACACCCACAAAGGGTAAAAGATATATAACAGAATTTTTAAAGCTGAAAAATCATCTTACTTGTCCACAGTTACTAAACAAGCCAGCAAGACCCTCCTCAGTCACCTAAATCACAAGGCACAGTTGTGTTACATTTTTTTTACCTTTTATTCTTTCATGTACTTTTAAAAGAGTGTAACAAACTTACACTCTGGTCAATGTCAGAAACATATACTGTTCTTCTAATACTATCCTCTCTCTCAGCCTTAGAAATTCTTCCATTTAACCTCCTCCTCCCTTGGCTATAACCGTTTCTTTTCTGTAATCACAAACATAATCAAATTTAACACAAGCAAAACCATTCAATCAAAGTGAGGCTTTTAAAATAACAAAAAAGTCATATTTAAATCATCAGATCAATCCACAACTATACCTTCCGGTTATTGTCATCCTTCTTGAGATCATGATCAAATTCTTCACCAGATTGATTCTTTTTAGCCACGTCAACCGACAGAATTTGATTGTCTTTCCCAGTATGATTGTTCTTCTTGGTGTTGTAGTAAGAAGGGAAAAACTCCTTTGCCAAAGGATTCAGTTTCTTGAACATTGCCACAAGATTCTGCATATCTAACTCGGATTCAGGTTTGAGCTCAGACTCTTCTTTGGAAACTGTGATCGAGATTTTCTCAGTTCCATCACCAATGGTATTTTCGCCATCGCTCTTGACACAAATGTCATGAACATCTTTGGCAACATCAATGTACTTTTCAGTGTGTACATTCTCAGTGATCACAGCCATTGGATCATTCTCAGTGATCGCAGCCATTGGATCAGAATGGACAAAACTTATTCGAATCAAATACTTATTCAAAACTTTGAGCAAAGATGATGAGAGTAAAATTACAAACAGGAGTTGAGTAAAAACAAATGTAATGATCAGCTCATTTGGGGAGAGTTTGCGATCATAGAGAGCTTTCTCTGTTGTGTAGTTATGGTGATGAGCGAAGTGAGGAGATGAAGTAAAAGAAAGGGATGATGCTTCCGTTTTGGCCGCTATCTATTTTGGCATTTTTAGACGTTAAATTTCATAATAGTGAAAGAAAAAAGTTTATTCTTGTTGTAAGTGACTAATTTTAATTATCCTTACATCCCTCTTTATGCATTTTTTTTATAAAAAAAAATGTCTCAGAGTCTGTACTGTTGGCATTTCAATGTAAGCCGAGTCAAGTAAATTTGATATTTTATTGTATAAAGAACCATGTAAAAGTGACAAAATGGGCCATGCTTTTATTTTTATTCCATTCCCTGATTATATTTTTATTCCTTTTTTTGTAATTTCATTTTGTTTTATTACATTTTTCTTTCCAAACAACTTTTTTCATATAGACTCGTTAAATAGTTGAGAAATAAAATAGACTTGTTATAAATAACTAATAAGTCCGACGCCTGCTGCTCCTGCTGCATAAATCTTTGGGGTTTGTTAGGATTTTTATCTTTTTTTATGAAAAAAAAGGTGTAAAATATTTATATGTATGTTATTCTGAAATCCCGGCGTTCGATTGTTGAAAATTAATTTTATGATTCAACAACAGAACCCGCAGTCTTCGTCGTAAATATATAAAGCTTAATGTACTTTTAAAATTTTTTTTTTGAAAAGAACATTAATAATTTTTAGGTAATTATTTTCGCTTATTACATTTTCACGTTTGAGTGATACATCATCAAATACAGTTTACTCATGCGTTCTATATATTTCAACTAGAGATATTTAATACCATTGCGTAATTTTAAAGATGGTTGGAAGAAAATATAAAATTACTGGCTTCAGTTAGGTTGTAAGGTTGCATTCCGATTACTAATTGGGTGGGTTTACTATGTAAAATGATGGTGGCCACTTTCGCGGTCCTTTATTTAGTGAATCAAGTTTTATAAATAACAAAAAAACTGCATAAAGAAAAGAATATCTACTATATTAAATCAGAAGTATAAAAATACTCTTGTATTTTTTAAACTGATTATTTAGAGTTTCTTAACTTTCTTTTTCATACTTCATCTAATTAATAACCCAATTTTGGATAAATTTAATAAGTCATGTCCAAAATAGGTATGAAAAATGATTTACAAAACTATATACATATTGTAAAAAAAAATTCTTATTTTCTTTAAAAACTAAATTTTAACAATTTTTTTCTATAACAAAATTGTGTAATTTAGAGTTTGTCTTTATAAATTTGTTAAATTTATTGTATTTTATTATTTACTAAATAATAAACATTTAAACATGATAAATAAATTATGAGAATATATGACACATTCGTCAGTTAGAAACACGTAATTAAATCGTCACATATACATCAAACAACATATTTTGAAAATATAATAATATGCAATATATAACATGGATAAAATGAAAAGAAAATATAAATTTTGAAAAAAAAATAATATCCACAGAAAATAAAATTTAATATCCGCATGAATGCACAGAATTATCTATTTTTTTAAATGGATAAATCCTATTGAGGAACATGCGTATTGCGCATTGTAGCATGGGTTCGATGATGACCAGAGGCGGACCTATTTGAGGTCAAGGTGGGTCAAGTGATAAATTTGATTTTCTCTTTATAGTTTACAAGTGTTTTGGATTTTAAACCAGTTCATCTTCATGATTGACACATATTTTTTATGTTTAGCAAAGGTAAAAAACTCTCTGGATTCGCAGATTCTTCTGTCAACAACCTAATTACATGTGAAGTTGTTGATTATTAAGTGTTTAACTAGGACTAAGTAGAGCTCTGTGCCTTGCTTTGTCTAACATGATGGATCAGTAAAATGAATGGTTTGATCATCCATCACTTAAGTAGGGTTAAAACAGATAAACCCCAACCCGGTAAAACATAAAGCGAGTAACATTATTGTAAGAGCTAGACATTTGAATACAAGGGAGAAATTGTCATATTTATTATAGTCTTCATTTTTAAGTGTTTGTAAGCAGGTAATGTCATGTTTGACTGCAAAGTTATGTTATAAAAAAATTTACAATAATATTACATAATGATAACAAGACATATAACTAGTTATCTTAAGTTTTCTTTTTTTTATGAAACTAGTTATCTTAAGTTTGTAAATAAAAGGTAGGTAAATATGACAAAATACTAACTTGCTTTTCAGCATCTATGATTGCAAGAATATTTAAAACGTTTCTCCCCGTTGCAAACAAACGATCGGACATGTCACACCAATGGAAGGATCAGTTTTACAATAAAACCTCTTAGACTATTTCCAATGTATTTTTCTATTTTATCTCTAAATAAAAGAATTCTATAATAGAGATAGGTTTTATTCCATGCATTTCTCTAAGATAGAGATCTTCAAATATATAATAAAATAGTAATTATATTTTGAAACTAAAAATGGAGATGGATTTGAGTGATTTTATCTCTAAATGTTATTATAGAGATAAAAGTAGAAATGAGTTGAAAATGTTCTTAGAGATAAACAAGTTATGAACGAAAAATCTAACAATCATCCCCCCCCCCCCNTCCCCCCCCCCCCACCCCCACCCCAATCATGTCGAGAGATTCTACCGTTCGAGGCCCATTCAGAACTCATCGGTTATTCCCCAGAAACTCAGTATGAGGTCGAACTATGAATATTACAGTATTTATGTTGGGTTTTAATATTGAGCCAAGTGTTATATATATGGGCCAACATTTATTATTTCAGCCAAGCTTTATGTATATGGGCATACATTTTATGTCGACATTTAGTTTCCTTTTCTTCCAAAATATATTAAACCAAGTATTCAATTAATTTAATATTCCTTCCGTTCCTAAATGATCCATATTTTAGAAAAAAATTTTGTTTCTAAAAGATTCATATTTTATATTTTCAATGTATGTAATAATGGTAAATTGTAAACTTCAAAAATATTAATTATGTTTACTGAATTTTGATTGGTTAAAAATCATAGGAAATAGCTAAACACATAAAATAATGCATTTATTATCAAAAATTTAAATGTTTTTTTAATAAGTGTGAAAATTTTAAAACATGGATTATTTAGTAACAGAGAGAGTATTTAACATGCCAAGTAAAATCGTTGGTTAAAAACCCTTAGTTAAAACTCGATAAAGTATATAAATATGCTAAACAGTATTTCTGTGCAATTAATTAAATTAGATAGCCCATTAGAAAGTTGCTAAGTAGTATTATTATTTTTGATGTAATTTTATTTTAAATCATCTACTAAATGTACTACGTGTGTAACATGTGTATATTCCACCGTTTCAACTAAAAACGTCTAGAAAATGCCAAATTTACAAACGTATCAAACCTTTTTTTTAACGTATCAAACTTTGTTCCGAGGCTTCGAGCTAGCAAAATTATAATTGAGTTCCTTTTTCCATTTCTCTTGCAAACCATCAAGTTTCTAAGAAACTTCCTTCAACATTTATATTCTACGAAAACAACTTTTCATAGTTAAAGAAGAATTGACTGAGTGGTTGGTGAAACACTGTACTAACGTGAGTACGTGGTTTATCGTCTTCATTGCTTTTACCGAAATGCATGAAATTGCTTTTGAGTAAATATGTCTATTCAACCAAACTTAAAAATGTACGTATTTTAAAAATAATTTATGATCATAATGAGTATGTTAGTACCATCGTTGCGTTATTAATTAGCTTTAAACTCAAGAAATGTAGGTTTCGAGTCTTGGAATAGGTGATTTATTAACAACTATTAACTTAATGGTAAGAATACTTACAAAAAAAAATCATTTATGGTACAAATAGAATAAAAGTAATATTATTTGACAAAAGAATGTTACTTTTACAAAAACTGGCAACTGCAATAGGAATAAAAACGTTTCACATGCATCAGTAAGCAACTTTTTTTTCATCGCTAAGTAAATTTATTTTAAAATATCGTAGAATTTACAAACAACCCATAGTTTTGTGGGTAATAGTACAAAACATAATAACACATGAAATCATAGATGTCAATAGTCAAGTTTATAGGATTCCGTTGGCCAAATAATAAAAGCAATCAGAAAGTTTCAACTCATCGAGTGCGGTCGGTTAAAGCGCTTTTTGATTGACCGTTATGAAACGCGAAAACGAAATCACACCTTGCCACGTGTCTGTCATTTTCTTGGTGAGACGGACACGTTTTCTCCAACGTGTCTTTATTCTGTCGGAATGCACTGAATGTTACATATCTTTTAGTTAACGCCTTAACGGTATCGTCGTACATTTGGCGGCAGTTTTGAATACTTGGAGAACGTGTTCCTTTTTTATTTACTGCTTGATATAATGATGTAATATGATATTTCAAGCTTGATTTTTTTTTGTTAAAAGGTTTAATTTCTTTTTTTTTAATAAATTATATTGTTGCTCCGGTCGATCTTTGGAGGAACATATTTAGTGCTACAATGTGAATTTGCTACTATACCACATGACTCAAATTTGGAATACCTTCCAACTAATGCTAAAGATTGATTCGTTCATCTGTTACGATCCACCATATAAATCACTTAGGCTGAAATCTACACACAAACTAGTTAAATAATAATAGTTTAATTTCATGCTTGTCTTGCAGGCTTGTATTATATTTGATATTTAAGCATACACGGTTGGTTAGTTAGTATATATATATACTAGGGAAAAACCCGCCCTACGGGCGGGTAAACAACTAAAATATATTTAAAATGCTTAATTCATTTTCAACTAAATATAAAATTAATATTATATTTTTATCATGACAAATTTGTTGATTTATTTGACTATCTATTTTAGAATCATAATTTAAATAATATTTTTTTGAACG